CGGGCTCCGTACGCGCCGCCCGCGGGACTGCAGAGCCGGTTCCCGGCTGGCCGCCCGCACCGCACCCGCCGCCGCCGCCGCCACCACCGCGGTCCCGCCGGCGCTCGCGGCCCCCCGGGAACATGGAGGCTCCGGGAGCCCGTCCGGAAGGGTAACGCGGGGTCGGGGCGCGGGGCTGCGCGTGCTGCCCCCGGCCGGGGCTGCGGGGCACCCGGCGCCACCTGCAGCGCGGAGGTCGGGCTGAGTCCCGGGCGGGAAAGCCGGGCCGGGTCGGCGGGCGAGGGGCTGGCGCCCCGCGGAGGGAGGACGCCGGGTGGGCTCGGGACCCCGGGCGGTGCGGGGCGCGGGGCGGAGGGTGAGCGGGGAGCCGGCGGGGGATGCGAAGTGCAGCTGCCGCAGAGCCGCGTCTGCTCAATGGCTCCGGTGGCGGGACCGGATCTCCGGGACACCGGCTGCGGGTGCCTCCGGCTGGGGATCCGCACGGCTCTGCGGCCGGGAAGGGCTTTTCCGCTTCCCCGCGGCCGCGCGCTGCGGCGGAGCCCCCGCGCCCGGGAGGAGGCTGGGATCCGGGGAGGCCGCCCGCTCCTCGTCCCCCTTTCAGGCTCCGGAGTTTTCGGGTGGGGATGGCGCCTCGGCGGTCCCCCGGCTGCACTGCACAGGCCGGGGAGCCCCACGGGCCGGGCAGGAGGGAGTTAAGGCGGCCGCGGCCGGCCGGTGGGTCTAGGCCGCCGGCGCGGAGACGAGCGCGGAGCGCGCGCGGTGGAATCCGGGCCGGGCCCGGGGCGCAGGGAGGGGGCCCAGGCCCAGACCCCTCCCGCTCCGGGGCCGGCGGGGAGTCCAGCTCAGAAGCCGGCCTCCTCCAGGCTCCCCTCTCGCTGCTGCCAAGCCCGGCTGGCCCTCTGCCGCCCCTGCCCAGCAGGAGGGAGGGATTTTTCTCGGGGGGAGAAATCGGTGGTCCAGCGCCTGCCCGGCTCCAATGCCAAGCGCCGGGAGGGAGGCCTGCAGCCGAGGGGTACCCGAGGGCGAATCAGTCCTGGGCCCAAGCCAGGCAGCCTTGTGGAGCCGAGCTTTCTGCGGGAGGAGTCCCCTGGCCGAGCTCTGCAGGAGTGTGTGTTGGGGGGACCTGCGGGGGTCAGAGCGCGTGGTAGGCTGCAGTGTGGGAAGCTCACCCCTTTCCAGAGGCTGGGCCTGACCTGGGGTGGGAGGGCTCGGCCCAGAGTCCCTCCTGGTGGCTGCTGAGGACCAGCGGGGGACCTGGCTCAGCCCTGGGAGGCCCCTGGAGGAGACAGACCCAGCCGAGCCTGCAGGCTTGTTCCCGGGGAGAAAATGCTTCCAGTGGATGAAAGCCTGCCCAGAGGAGGCTGGGAGGCTGAGGGGGTGTCTCAGGTGTGACCCCAGAACGGGAAGGGCGTGTGGAAGGGAGGCTGCCAGGGCCCTGAGGCTTGGCACCAGCTGCCCCACGGCCCTGGCCCCACCTGGCTGCTGTGTCCCACCTCCTGAGACTCCGGCTTCTGCTGACCTTCGCATCTCGCCTCCTTCCTTCCACAGGCTCCGGCCCCACGCGCAGCTGTCCTGGCCTCCCGCGTGCCCCTGACCAGGCACCCGCCGCCCCTGCGGCCCAGCCCAGACCTGGAGCTCACCTCCGGGACCTGGCGCCTGCCCTCCTGCCCATGATGACTCACCATTATTTCCAGCTGAAGCGCGAACCGTGATGGGGAGTCAGGCTGCCCGTGTGTGTAGCTAGGATTCCCTCGCCAGCTGATCAGCTCTGCAAGGGAGAGAGCTTCCCGTCCCTGCCTCCCAGGTAAGCCGGTCTCTCATTTCATAACAGCCACGCGTGGAGTCGCTGCGTGGGGATGGTGAGGGGGACCCAGGTCCAAGGTCTGCCACTGCCAACACCTCCCAGGGCGCAGGCATCTGCAAGACCTTAGCTCAGCGCCTGCAGGAGGGCTCTCTTCCAGCCTCCAGTCCGGGGTTATGCTCCTGCGGGCGGTGCAAAGGGGTCCGCCACCTTCCCTCAGTGCAGGGCATTCCAGATCCCCCCCCCGCCCCCCCCATGATCCCCAGCCAGGCTCCGAGGTGAAATCAAATTGTGCTTTTCGGTGGTGGTGGTCATGCTTCTGATGGGAGACACAGACTAGCAACCCAGCCGACGCTGAGTGGCCTCACGTCCTTAACTGCCTCTGTCTTTCAGCCAAGCTGCGTCCCTGGCTCTCAGAGAGCCCCCGGGCTCTCCTGCAGGGACGCAGGCCCATGCGCCCGAGTCTCCGGGGACCGTCGGCAGCACCCTGAGCTCCCTGCCACCAGGCAGCTGGAAGGCGTAGCGTGAGGCGCTTCTCTCAGTCCCAACTATGACAGTAGCCACCGGAGACCCGGCGGACGAGGCTGCCGCCCTCCCTGGGCACCCGCAGGACACCTACGACCCGGAGGCCGACCACGAGTGCTGCGAGCGGGTGGTGATCAACATCTCGGGGCTGCGGTTCGAGACCCAGCTGAAGACCTTAGCCCAGTTCCCAGAGACCCTCTTGGGGGACCCCAAGAAGCGGATGAGGTACTTTGACCCCCTCCGCAACGAGTACTTCTTCGATCGGAACCGCCCCAGCTTCGACGCCATCCTCTACTATTATCAGTCGGGGGGCCGGCTGAGGCGCCCCGTGAACGTGCCCTTAGATATCTTCTCGGAAGAGATTCGGTTCTATGAGCTGGGGGAAGAGGCGATGGAGATGTTTCGGGAAGACGAAGGCTACATCAAAGAGGAAGAGAGACCTCTGCCCGAGAACGAGTTTCAGAGGCAGGTGTGGCTCCTCTTCGAATACCCGGAGAGCTCGGGGCCTGCCCGGATTATAGCGATCGTGTCCGTCATGGTGATCTTGATCTCCATCGTCAGCTTCTGCCTGGAGACGCTGCCCATCTTCCGGGACGAGAACGAAGACATGCACGGCGGGGGCGTGACCTTCCACACCTACTCCAACAGCACCATCGGGTACCAGCAGTCGACCTCCTTCACCGACCCGTTCTTCATCGTCGAGACCCTCTGCATCATCTGGTTCTCCTTCGAGTTCCTGGTGAGGTTCTTCGCCTGCCCCAGCAAAGCCGGCTTCTTCACCAACATCATGAACATCATCGACATCGTGGCCATCATCCCCTACTTCATCACCCTGGGGACGGAGCTGGCCGAGAAGCCAGAGGACGCCCAGCAGGGCCAGCAGGCCATGTCGCTGGCCATCCTCCGCGTCATCCGCTTGGTAAGAGTCTTTCGGATTTTCAAGCTGTCCAGACACTCCAAAGGGCTCCAGATCCTAGGGCAGACCCTCAAGGCCAGCATGAGAGAGCTGGGCCTCCTGATATTCTTCCTCTTCATCGGGGTCATCCTTTTCTCTAGCGCTGTCTATTTCGCGGAGGCCGATGAGCGAGACTCCCAGTTCCCCAGCATCCCGGATGCCTTCTGGTGGGCAGTCGTCTCCATGACAACTGTAGGCTACGGAGACATGGTCCCGACGACCATTGGGGGCAAGATCGTGGGTTCCCTATGTGCAATTGCAGGGGTGTTAACCATTGCCTTACCCGTCCCCGTCATAGTGTCCAATTTCAACTACTTCTACCACCGGGAGACAGAGGGAGAGGAGCAGGCCCAGTACCTGCAAGTGACGAGCTGTCCAAAGATCCCGTCCTCCCCTGACCTAAAGAAAAGTAGAAGTGCCTCTACCATTAGTAAGTCTGATTACATGGAGATCCAGGAGGGGGTGAACAACAGCAACGAGGACTTTAGGGAGGAAAACTTGAAAACGGCCAACTGCACTCTGGCTAATACAAACTATGTGAATATCACCAAAATGCTAACCGATGTCTGATTGCAACCTATTAGCCTACCCACAGCTCCACGGAACTGAGTGCAGATGTTGCATAACAGCCTGCATTGTAGTCAGTCTGTTCCACAGTGTGTAATCCGGTTCTGCATGGGAAGCAATAGTCGTGCAAGTGACTTTTGACCTTTTGATTTTTGACTTAGAACACAGAATAGCTGTCCATGGCTTTCACGCGAATCTTCATCGCCGGCTTAGGGGTTTCCACAGATGGGAGTCACCTATGGAGCCAGGATGTTGAGGCCACCTCATAGCACATACATAACCTGAGACCCACCTTTGCTTCCCGGGTAAATGCACACAGTATCCAGGAGATGCACCCCCCCCCGCACCCCTCGTTCCCCGCCCCTCCCATCTGAGCCCACCTGCAACAGAGAACCACGGTGGCTTGGCTTTAAAGCGCTGGTAATGACGCGAGAGGTCGTTTCCATTTTGCATTGAAAGGAACACACGGTCCTGTGTGTTGGAATCCCTTTCTTTGTCACAGGCTGGGGTCTGCGAATCGCAGCTGCCAAGTAGATGCTCTGGAGGCTTGTGTTTCATAACGGAAAATGCTGCATTTGGGTTTTTTCTCTGCAGTGTCGATGAGAGGGAAGCCCGGGGGAGGAACAGTAGTGTGACCGGTTGCAAGTTGCCAAGTCTCTCGTTTGCTCCCTTAGGCCGGTGGAGAGAAGCTAACACACCCAGGGACCTCTCCACTTCAGATGTCACCATTTTTTGCAGGCTTCAGGGTCACAAAAGCACGTCCCATCTCTTGGTTGCCCGGGAGTTTGCAGACGTCTGCTCTCCCAGTGCTGTGGCCCAGCTACCCTGACACTGCAGTGGAATCTCCAGCGATGCTATAGAGCTGCATGGGTGTTCGTTGCATGAATCTCAATATTTCAAACACAGGAGATAACCTATTTTCTTAGTAGCCTACACAGTATTCATATTTAGAGTATTAATAGCCTAGGAATGGCATTGAACTAGGGTGTTTCACCCCATCTTTCCCATCGGAAGATAATAGCCCTCAATCAGGAGAAAAAAATAGACTGACTGTTCAGAATGGGGACCCAAACTTTTGGCCCTCCAGCCCACCCCACCCCTGTTCTTCCAGATGGGGGCACAGACCTCTGCCAAGCCAGGAGAGCGAGCGGGGAAGGCAGTGTCTAAACACCTCAGCAGTTGAGCCATGGGCAGGACTGTACAGCCGTCCAGGGCATCTGGCCCCGAGGAAGGCGAGCTATGGATCCAGTGTATATAAATATATCCTGCGTCTCTTTCACCAGTTCCTCTACTGGCTAGCTCTAGAAACAATTGCATTTGGACCTTGTATAAGCTTATGCAATATTTTTGACACAGGGCAATTTATGCATGTGTTTGACTATGTGCACTATAGTGTATGTATGTATATGTACACATATACATACGTGTGTGTGTGTTGGTACGCACACACACTCACACATACATTCACTCCCTGGAGTTCAGGTTCAGGAGCAAATCCACTGCTTGGTGGGTTGGTTATCTAAGAGGCCTAATGGGTTCATTGATCTCACTGGTAACCCCCCAGGGCCTGGGTTTGCTGCCATTGCCTCAGGCACCCCAGTCTCCGTGGATTCGTAGACGTTAGAATTGTCTTTCTGCCCTCCATGTGCTGCAGCTTCAGTCCCCACGGCTGAGGCTTGTCTTACCGAGTGCACAGGGGCCCCGCGGCCCTCGCGGCTCCAGCTGTCCTGGGCCACCCCGCCCCAGGCCTCCCCTCCACCTCCATTCTCATCGCTCTCCACCCCGTGCCGTCATTGCCATTGGCTCTGCATCCGCCCCTTCCATGAACCTTTCCCTTGAGGGCCAGCGTGGATCGCCTGCTTTGAAGCCAAGGATGCCAGCGAGGAGGGCTTCTGGGGACTCAGTTCCAAGGGTCTGGGCTTAGGGAGCCTCCTCCATGGGGAACTTCTAAAGCCTGGGGACCAACGGGTGAAGTCCCTAGACGAGCCACAGGCATCATTGTGATGGACAGGCTCGGACTCGCCCTATTAAATTGGCAACCAGAGCTGCTTCAACAAACCACAGGGTGGGAAAGGATCGGCCCACCCCCAGAAGAGGTTGGGAGGGACCGAGCGTGCACAGCCTCCAGGCAGTCAGGCTGGCCCTGGAGCGGGGTGAGGTGGGGAGGCTTTGCCTCACAGCCTGGGCCTCTTTGCCTTTCAACATAATAGCTTAACTGTCCCAAACACAGTGAGGTGTGCGGTCGGGCTGCCCAGTCATAGGCCCAGCCCCAGCCTCACTGTTGGCTGTTTAGCACCTGCAGTTACCTTGGGGGTGGGGCACCAGCTCAGGGTGCTAGGCCCAGGGTGCTCACTAGTTCCTGGTCACCCACATCCCCAGGTGTCTGCAGGGCATCCCAGGCCCAGCGCAGAGCCTCCGTGCTTCTCTCCCCCTCCTCGTGGGAGACGGTGCTGAATTTCCGAGACATGGGGAAGCGGGACCCATCCCATCCCTAAGGCCTAGGTCAAGGGTATTTTGTCCCCATGTCCTTGACCTAGGACTGCAAAACCTTCACACACACAGGCACACACGCATGCACACCCACCACAAAGGAGGCACACTGTTGCCACATACACAAAACATGCAAAACACATGCAAAATACACAGAGACCAAATTAAGATAGATACACGGTTATCCCCATATCCAAAATACGCATCCAGCACACACATAGAATGGACTTACCAATACAGAACATATACAAAGACCTGCTTGCACCATGTACAAGACATGACCTGCACCCAGGTGCAAAATACACAAAAACTACACGAACACAAGGAGTGCACATACGAAATACAGAAATGCTGATTTGCTGTTGTTTCTGCGCTCCAAATACACAAACTCAGTGCAAACACACGATGCATTGACTCTTACAAGGCACACAAAATGCAGCACACGCAACCAAGAACACACAATGTACATGAAATGCATACATATACTCAGATCCATGGCTCCGCCCCCAGAGCTATAAATTACTCGGTATAAACAGAAGATGAGATTCAATCACCTTTCCCTGGCCTGTGTCCATACCCCTCAGTACCCTTCAAAAAGTCTCTTCGTCTAGTCTCTCCTCTCCCTCCCCCCCCCAGATTTCACAGAGGTAACCCCCAACGTGTAAAGCAGAAAGATGGGCCCCCATTGTCAGATCTGTGATTAAGACTGGGAATCTCATGGGGTTTCTACCTATTCACCTTCCACCAGAAACCTAGCTTCAGGGTGTGGCAGGACCTGGGACAGCTCGTGGTCTATGAACACACCTCCTTGCCCTGCCCTTTCCTTCAAAGCCAGTCACACAGAGAACCCAGTAGCCCCAACCCCGGGGGTCTCTGGACTCAGACCCACTCCTGATGGTTTAAGAAACGAGTGTCCTGGGCCCAGAACCAGAGTGGAGGCGCCCCAACATGCTCTCTGTCGACAGACCTTATTGCCCCTCCAACCCAAGTGGCTTTGGGGGGGGCCTGGTCGGCAAGTCGGGACTTCATACAGATTTCTCTCTTAAAATGAGCCCCCTTCGTGCTTGTGGGTCCCCTCGGTGGGCGTTCAACCCCGGCTTCTCCTGCCCCCACCGGGCTCCGCCTGGATGCCCTGCCCCTCCCGCTGCTGCGCCGGGAGGAACCGCACACCGTCCAGCCTAAGGAAACCGTGATGAGAGCTGAGCCGAACGCTACACAAGCGAAGGGCAGCACCTTGTTACAGCGCCTGGTTTTGATCCCGTGTTCCCAGGCCCGGAAGTGCTTGGTCAGGTGGCCGGCTTGTGGATGGCCCACAGTGGTAGTCCTTCCCGTCGGAGGGCCAGCTAGGAGCTGGGTGTGTTTAGGCAGAGTCTTCTCCTCGAATGGAAGTTGGGGGGTGAAGCCAGGCGTCTGACCAGGCCTCCGGGTGTGTGGTGTGTCCCGCCTGCTCTCCCAGTGACCGTCACAGCTCCCGGTCTCCGGAGGGAAGCGCGGCAGCGGGGACCCGATGGACGGGCCCACAGTTGCACATTTAGTGCAGAATGCTGGCCTTTCCAGGGTGTCCCAGCCAAGTAGCCATTTCCCTGTAGCTTCAGCAGGGCCCTCTGCTGGGTCAGCCTTTCGGGAAAGTTGGAGTTTTTGGAGGCTGGAGGGAAAGAGGTTCCGGGCGGGGCGGCAGGCTAGGGGGGTTGGGGTGGGGGGCTGAGCTGGTCACATTTCAGAGGAAGCTCTTCAGGAGCTGATGTTAATGAAGGACGGAGTTCAGGCTCGGTGCCCCAGGAGCTTCTCCCCCATCCCTCCCAGCTGGGCTTTGAGGACGAGTAGGTGTGTCACCGGGACGTTAGCCTTCTAACGGGGGCCCCGGGGGAGTGTGTCCAGACTCCCTTGCACGACATGGAAAGGGCTCCCCTGTTAGCGGAGTTGGCCCGAGCCCCCAGCCTGGGTGTTTGTGCGGCTGCCCTCTGTGGGGCGCACAGTAGGGCTTCCTTGTCCTGTCAGCTCTTTCTGGGCCTCTCACTCCATTGCAGTGAGGTCATTGGCCCACCGACTTCCTGGTCAGCGTACATATGAGGGCCAGCCCACGTGGAGAAGGGCAGTGCCCTCTGCACAGGCTCGGGCTGGGGGTTCGGTGCTGCCCACGCTAGTGGAGAAGAGGGGCGGAAGCCGGCTTTCCCCGAAGGAGGCCACGGGACAGTTAGCAAGTTGCACGCCAGGCGGCACCATCCGCCCAGGTCCGGCAGGAAGAGCGCAGCGCTTTGAAGTGTTCACCCAGCAGACGGTGGGCAGCCCTGCCCCAGGTCTGGCTCTTTGGGGGACATTGCCATGAGCCTCCAGGGGGTGATGGCCACCTGGTCCGAGAGGGCAGGTCCCCGTGGGCTGTCACGTCCAGGGTGCCCCTTGGCAACACCACGGAGGGCCCCCCAGCCTTGGCACAGTGTCCATGGCCGGGTGTGAACCCCCGACCCTGAACTTAAGATCGTGAGCCATCTGAGCCGACTGGCCAGCCACTGGGT